CCGGAAGTAAGCATCCCATTGAATCGGCGAGCTTTCATCTTTACTAAAGTCAAATACGCTAGGCCCGCTCTGAGGTGCCACTCATATTAGCCAGTTCCGAATTAGAAAACGTCAATGGTGCGCCGATTTGGAGTTCCTTGGCGTTTACTCATACTTTCTGTCATGCTGACAGGACGAAACCAGGATAAAATGGACGAGAAATAGGACTAGAGGAACTCTTTCTCTGTTGGCAGGGCCCCTATATCGTCAATTAGTTGTTCTGTTAATCTGTTGGTTTCGCCTTCCGCCTCGATGGAAAGAAATAGTTAACTTGCTAACTTAGGAGGGACACAATGCGTCCCCAGCAGACACCGTATGCTCAATCTGAAGTATAGACAAGCCACGTCATGTTAAAAACCTTCCTGCATTGAATGGATGAATTCCAGTGGCTTTTGTTACTGCATAGGCGCACAGGTCCTTCCGATCTGACCATTATGCAGACCATCTGGACCAGCTGTCGTGCTCATTTGCACGGTGTGCGATAGAATGCGTGGCCATCGTCGCAGTCTCCGTTTGTCAACGAAAATCTACACTTCTCGTGTAAAGCCCTGTAAAAACAGACCACCGCTGGAGCCAGCCAAAAAGTTAGTCAGTCCCCGAAAGCAGCAAAGAGGCTGTTCAAATCGAAAAAACTGCGCAGTCTTTCCGCCAATGAAACCTTTGGGAACTAAGACGTGGCTGCCTCCTCACCGTTATTGCTTTTCTGTTTAGAAATCTCACGCGACTTGTATGTTTTTGGCCATTGGTAGGCGCAGCACATCATACTGGCCCTAAATTTCCACATTTTGCACCGATGGGCATCAGGCCCATCATCTGTCGCATTCGATAATTTCTCGACGAATGTGAGGTCATGCCTATGTAGTTGGTCCGGGTTGCTAACATAGATGTGACCAACAGCACAGACGTTCTCTTCCAACTTTCAATACCACAAGCCCGGGTTGGGCGAAATCAAATGTCATGCTACGGCAGCCATGATCCACTTGACATTGTGCAGAGACGAGCGCCCAACTTGCCTCGCCTCCCTTCTCCCCCCCCCCCCCCCCCCGATGAGTCGTTTTTGTACACTTCAATTTGGCGACACGGCGGATTGTTAATTCAACCAAGACCTTACACCCACTGGGGCTACTTGCAGGGTCGCGTGGACAGTGGAAAGATGAAAGCCAGGGCTTCGATCCCGGACACATATCTGAATGAAGGGTTTAGCTACTTGTTGGAGTGGGAGGAGGAGGATGGGCGCAAAGATGAAAACATGGGCTGGGCGACCATTACTCGACAGGACAGACAGCAGTGAAGCAAACAACTGCTCGTCCGCTCTCCGCCCGGCCCAAGTTTCGGCACATAACCGCAGGGGCCGCGCACATGTCTGTTGTTGTGGATGCACGTTGACAACAACGCCATGACATCAACGCTCTGAAAAGAGAGGCATTCTCAGCGATGCCGACCGTAAGACCGCAACTAATAGGGGCCTAAAACAAAGTCAGTTCTACTACTTATCCCTCCGTCTCAAAGTGGTAAAAAGAAATGCTTGTGTGAAACATTCGCATGCACGACCAAATTTTTAAGTACTCAGCTATCAAGGCAAATCCTCATAACCACTAGCAAAGAGGTTCGGGGAGCGAACCATTTACCGATATAGAAAGAGCGAATGATCATATCCCAACCCCGGACTCGCTGTCCGGGAGGAATGCATCGAGAAGACAAGTCAGCCGTGTGAGAGGAGGCACCCATAACCGGCGTGGAGAAGAAGACTCAAAAAATGAGCGGGCAGTATCTTGGTAATCCCAGTGCGGGTCTTTTTACATTCAGGCCAGAGTTCTGGCCATTCAACCATGAAGGCAGTGAGGAAAGTATAAACCAGGGGGTAGGGAGGGGGAGGGGTGATGACTACGGCGAAGGACGGCAAAAGAAGTGAGTTGTGGGTTGGAGCCTAGGAAGGAACTGTTCACCATCAAAAGGGAATATTACAGAGCAGGAAAGAAGGCGCCAAACGGTGTTGGTGTCCTTCGCTAACACAGCTAATTGCATGTTTAGAATTTCCACGACCAACCGGTCAACCCAGATAGGGCAGTATTCGGCGGGCGTGTAAGATCAGGGAAAGAGATACGAGTGTGCCAGGCCAGGCAACTCAGGGCAGCCGCACAGTAGGCTTCAGTGGCTGCAGAAGGACATTCGAGGCCGCAGGGCCGGAGACGTGCCGTCGGGGCGGGAGGGGCGGCGGCCGGGAGTCAATCGTACTGTCGCCTGCAAAGAGGAGCTGCTGGCTGGCGAAAATCTCTGTCTGCCGAGTTGGGTTGGAAAATAGGGGAGATACCGGGGAGGAGGTAGTTTGCTCCCTCGCCGCCGGACAAACCCTCTGGAAGGCGGCGGAGGCGCCGACTGACTTGGGCGGCAACGGCGGCAGGTCAGCATCATCCTCACCTTCTAGAGGGGTAGTCACTGGCACCCGGGTTGGTGCAAACGTCTCCTGAACGCAGAATGGGGTTGGACTTTGCGAGACCGGGGTGGAGCGGGTGGCACTTCTGCGCCGCGGAGGCAAAGGTGGAGGCCGCTGGGAGGGGCTGTTGGTCCGCCGTTGGGTGCCATAACTGCGATTCGGCAGCGTGTCAGTGCAAAGCGCCTCACAGGCACCGATAGGCAGGGAAGCAGACCGGTCATCGTCGAGGCGCTTGTCGACAAGCAATGGACAGGAGAATCGGTCCTCAGTGCTGCTACTGTACTTCTGCACCTGGCTGTCGGACTGGCTATGTTGGTGTACCACTGAAGCCATACAGAGAAGATTTTATAAGGGCGTCGGCGAGAGGGAAGTTGCAAAAAGAACTGAGGAAGTGTAGTGGGTGAGAATTTACCTGACACGGTGGGCGACGAAGCCGGCCTTGCAGAAGCTGGCGACTGACATTTCTGCCCATGAGCTTGGTTCTCTCTGTGCTGGGCGAGCCTGGTTTGCCAGAGAGAGTTTACAACGGACACGGGACTCGAGGGCTCGCCGGGGGGAGAGGTTGTCAGCGTTCCATGGACGGGGCTTGAGACTCGGGGACTAGTTCGATCCAACTTACTGCTGGTTGCAGTGCCACTGTGACATGGTACTTGACCGCACAGCACCTTAAATGCGCGGACAGATGCTGCTGTCAATTTTTGAGCAATTGGCTGGTTGGCCAGGTTGTTGGCGGCTTGGATAGCTTCCTTGCTGAGTCTCCGCTCCTGAAAAATGGGACATATACTGAGACTTGACGGCAAACTGAAGGGAGGTGCCGGTGAGAAATGCCCCTCAGTGGGAATCGTAGACATGTGATATCTAGACAACAGATCTCCGGCATACAGGCACATTGCAACTGCATGGCCACGGCATACTTCAACACCTCGTCAGTGGAGCTGTGATGCACTCCGGAGCTGCCAACTGTGATAGGCATGTAGCGGCCTAGCAACTACATCTTATAAATATTGTAACACCGGGACAATCCACTACCCTTACCTGATTCTGTCTCTGATGATGGATTCAAGTGAAAATCCGAAACGTCAGGCTAATAAAATACTTGTTCCAGCGATCGTATCGCCTTCTTCGAGACCTCCTTTTTATCAGTCTGTTCAATATTACCATCGAAAACTGATACAAATCGAGAGCAGGGTGCCGCCAATCACAACAAAGTAGTGTTTCCAAAGTCTGCTTTGAAGGAGATGAGACTGACATTAAAGAATACTTTATTGTGGACAGTAGCTTCCTTCAGCAATTCAGGTCTGCCAAATAACCATCTGCCGGTCACGGCGGCAAAATGACCAAAAACCTTTGATGATAAGTTTGGCTGATTGTGAAACAGTGGACACACTGCAGATTTGTCTCTAAAGCCACTTTAAGTGGTAGACACATTTTCGCTGGTTTCTGGGGGTTTTCGACGGTAAAAAGGCGTTCGGCAGAATACGGACCGCAGTTTTTAATGCTTGCTAGGATTTTTCAGGAATCCCACGTTAAATGTTAAACGATAGCTCAACTGTTACTGTAATTGAACAGTAGTATTTATAATAAAAAGAGAAGGCTCGTCGGAAAATCGAGGTATACTCGTGAATTTTCAAGTCGGTTACACCAACCCGTTGTCAGACGAAAATGAAAAGTGTGAGGGAGGTAATCCTACTGGGGAGCTAGGGGGACATCGAGGTTACATCGACAAGACAGACGTTTATGTGTGGGGGCGAAGAACGTGTTTGGATAGGTGGCGGACGTTAAGGGTTTCACACGTGGTTCACTCTGTGGGGGAGGTACTGAATCCGTGATATTCTACATGGCCGAACATGGATTAGCAGTTGGTGTCTTAGGGTGGGCGCAAGCCGGCGAACCGTGAACGTAAGCCTTCGTAGTCAGGTCGACATGGCGGTTGATGCTATTGTTATTAGAGTGCCAAGCTTCTAGGAACTCTCGCGCATGTTTGGTGTTGGCACTAGCGATCACTTCGGTCCCCTCCCAGTTGAAGCGGTGATCACACTCAAGGGAGTGCGCAAACACAAGAGGCAAGGGGTCCCGTCGGCGGATGGCCAACTTATCTTCGTTGATGCGGGTCCCAAGTCGTCGGCCGGTATGCCCAACATAAACGCTAGAGGGCGCTCACCGATCGCAGTACAGGACTCGCCCGTCCCGTCGTGCCTTAGGGCTCTCTCCCGAGCCCCGCCAGGAACCGCACAGCAGCGCATGATATAGGCAGAATGGCATAAACGACAAACACAAGGGAGGGGGGTCAGGACGGCCATTTCTGCCTTGTTAGCCGTCATCAGCCAGCCATACAATCTTACAGCCAGCTATACAATCTTACAGGTTTGAACTCGTGACCTGTTGGTCATAAGTCCAACGCCGTAAGCACTGAACCACGGAATCGTTAGCTCAATAAATTTAAGCAGGAAACAGCTAAATTATTTGGGGAAAATGCAACTGTCACTGCGAAGTTTTTTGGGGCTGGTCTCCCGGATGCGCTGTCCCATTAATTGTTAACGAAGTCCTAAAGTGTATTTTTCATCCGAAGAAATTACTAAGCTATGGTTGCAATATTAAATATCGTGCAACACAATCCCAGGATATTTCAGTCACCTCAGGGTGTCGCCTTTTGAACGAGCTTCTTTTCAGCCGCCTGCAAAAATCACTTTCCGCACAAAATGATTATTGAAGTGACACGACTTTTTCACATTGATTTTCGACATTCTTACTAACCAAAATGTATTTTGTAGAAAACACGCCAAAAGATACTAATCCTCGCAGTCGTTTGGTAGCAAAGTACACCCTTGAGTTTTATGCTTAAAGGAAAGGTATCTTGCAATTTTCAAAATTCCTAATTATGACCTAATAGCCTGTGGAAATGTATAATTTCCCCTGCATGGAAAATACAATTTGCAGTTTAAGAACCCTGAATACAAGTGTAACGGCAGGTCGGGCTCAAAATTAGTCAGGAAATGAAAAAAAGTCTTTTAGAACCGAAAGCCGCCTTGTCTTCAAGCATAAGGACGTTAAAGACGTAACCTGCTACCAACTAACTACAATATATAATGTTTTGTGCACGTTTTCTATAAAATATATTTCAACTAGTAAGGGCACCGAAACTCGATGGAAACGATTCACACTACTTAAATAACCATTTTTACGGAGTGTGGTTTTTAGAGGCGGTCGAAAGAAGCTCGTTCAAAAGTTGGCACCCTGACGTGACTGGCATACTTTGGAATTATGCGGCATGACAATACAGCAACCCTATTTAAGTAATCTTTTCGAACCAAGAACACATTTCATGAGGTAGTCAACCTACTGTTGCCGGTAAATAAATGAGGACGACGTAGTCGTGGAGAGGAAGAGGGGGTTATCTCCTGGTTCAAGATCGCATTTCTCTGACGTTTTGAACCCTCCCTGACAGCGTCGGAGAAACACATGCTTGAACGTAGAAATGTCTTTGCACTCTTCTTCCCGACACGTGTACACGTCACCAATTCTTGTATTTTATACCGTAGACTAACGAAACCACTCAGGAAGCCTTAACCAGTCAGGTAAATCTGAGAGTTTATTCCCGCCATAGTGGTTAGTAATTGTATCCTATTTGCAGGCAAGAAAAAAGCAATCCAACTGGTGGCACATGACTAGCAGAGTGGTCTACGGACAATGTTGAAAAAGGGGGGCTTACCACAGCGGCAGGCGGTACGCCTGATTCGCCCGGTTCGTACGACTTGGAGAGCTTAAACATTCGGTGCTCGAAGTCTTCTGTGGATGAGATCTCCAGTAGGGCAAAGGGATGAAGACGCGAAAGACTTTGCTAGAAGTCAAACCAACAGACCAAAAGCAACAAGTTGAACACCAGATTAGCATTCAGAAAATCTGCTAACGGCAGAATATCGTACACTTGTGAAAAACACACCAATTGATCAGGCCATTTGTCGGCTTAGATGAAAGCGGTATTTTGCGAGCACTGAGGCCTACCTGGATGTGGGGATCGGGCGTAAAGGGGTAGGGGTGGCGTTGGTGGCAGAGGAATTTCTCCACAATATCACAGCGACTTCGGCACTTGGCGAAATTCACCAGTGTCTCGCCATCAGGTGACACTCGATCCGGAAAATGCAGTTCAAGGTGTATGAGTCGAGTGATGATATTGAGGGCGAAAAAGGGCACTCCGGGTGAGGAGCAGTGCTGTTGGGGGTTGGGATTAGGAGGGTTGCGTCGACCTGGTTGTCGGCGCTGTCCGTGGGAGCCAGCATTAGTGCCTGGGTCCAGATGGCTGCAACTTCGGGATGCCAGTTGGGTGCTGCCTGTCATGCCTCTAACTGAGTCCTCTCCTCCCTCTGCGGCAGCGGAGCCGGAGACTGGAAAGGCAATGAGCTTGGAGGAAGAGGAGCAGCCACCACTGCTTCCGCTGCTGGAACTGCTGACGTGCAAGACACCAAGCAGGCCGGTGGCGGACGGGGTTCGACGAGACTTCCGGGAGGAGCCCGTGCTCTGGACTCGGTCCACTACCTCCCGATAGTTACGGTTCCGCCGAATAGTCTAAAACATGCAATTTTATCGGCATAGATAGGCATATGAAGACTTCACACAGCGGTGACGTCCAACGCTCTGGTACGTATAATTTCAGGTATGCATAGTCATGCAAAGAACCAGCATCGAAACGGAGAAAAAAATACGCCGTAGAAATATTGCATTCTGCCTCAAACTAAATGGACGTTTCATGCCAGCACATAGCTGCTCATAAACTGGAATCATGCCTATCACGAACAAAATATCCCATCGCGACCTAATAGCGTTGTTAGTCGAACCGCATGGGTCAACTGACCCTGTCTTGAGCAACGGCTTAGAACTGGTATTAACGAAGATGTTTTGTAAGATTCTTCGGCAACTTTTATGCCATTCGCATAAGACAATGAAAAGGCAGCATTCATTGTCCTCCTGCGAAACACCATCCACTGGTATATTCGACCTTCCAACATAAGCGAGGCAGAAGTACTACCTCTAACGTCTACATTTCTGGTTTTTACAAAAGCAGCATAGGTTCATTGGACAGCCTTCCTCCATTCTTGCCGAGTTTCTTAAGTGGTAGTCGTCACGCGCTCTTCCCGAGCTCTCACCAAACATTTTCCCTCTGTGCGATGGCTACGACAAGATCGACTTAAGTACGCACTTGCGGTGTGGGTTCATTCTGCGTACCAGTACGCCATCAGAAAGCACCACATTTCTACCCTTGTATTATCCTCCAGGAAAATTATACGCTACCAAATATACCACTCCTTATAGTTCTGTAACACTACTTTGTAATTGTTTAGTTAAATCCGCCGTCGGCTGACAACGTGCGATCCAGTGCATTCTGGCTAAAGTTTAAGTGTCCGTTTCGATACTATTTGACACATTTCAGTAACGAGTTTTGATAACTTCACGATTTTGCCGCACAATACCCTGATACATACTAGTAGTTACCACGCGGTCACATGCTTGTGGTATGTAATTCTTTAGCTAATTTTCCTTTCAACTTTCTTTACGTAATGGTGTTTTTTGCGACGTTATTGTAATCAGTAGGGAGTTCAAAGACGTTCGCCTACCTCTCCCCTAATACTGAACTGAACTACTCGAGTGTTTAATGTACTCTAGTTCATACAAAACGGATTCACTTTGACCCAACTGTGAAAAACTCGGCGTCTCGATGGGATTCGAACCCACAACAACGAGGGGAGGCTTTAGTACAGTCAACGCTCTAACCATCTGAGTCTCTATGTTGACTCTTAAGCATATGTTACGGTACTTTTTGTATGGTCTACTGTCCACTAACGTGTAATTCAGAAACGGAACGGGTAGAGGATTAGCAGTTCACAAATATCTTATTAATAAGGCCATCCTCTTGAGTATTTATAAGCAATTATAGCGAAAATGGGTCCAATATATAGAGAAAAGTGGGTTCTTTCGTTCTCAGCAAAAATAACCATAATTTTTTCAGGAAAATGAAAAAAACCGGTCGGGTGTATGTATGCAAAGTATGCAGACATCATTTCACAAACTACCTTATCAAAGTGCTTTTCGAAGAGGCGACTTATCAGAGGAAATTTTTTTTAAATTGAGCTAAGGCATATTCGTTACCGAGTTTCGTTGTAAACGTTCATTTTTCTCTACGATAAGGTCTCGTGTTTCGGTGGGTCTATAAATATAACCCAGACATCCATCTGTATTAAAAAGAATGCCCAAGCACCTCACTACTTCGATAAATGCTTTCGATAAATATCCTCTTCTGAGGGTTGTGATAAACACATGGTACAGAATCTACCCTTAGGGGGCAATTGATCAAAAGCGTTGAAAATCGTGAAATATGCACCTAATATTTCAAGGATGATTCGAGACCCAATGTACCCTAACGCAAGAAAAAATTGCGAATTTGACGGAAGGAAGGTCTTTTTATCATGCACAAAGTGGCACGTTTACGATTTCAGCTGCTAATTTTTATTCAAATTTATCAATCACTGACGGTCCTGCCATTTGACCTCATAAAAACTTATTTGTTTGACGTTTATGTCCGTGAGATCAAGTGAATTTCTCATCGCCTTTGCCAACCGCTTCTTAAACAATACACAAACAGAAAAAATACAGTTGAATCTCGTGAAAACGCTTTGGAAATGTAGGCTGATGGCCAACGAACATAGTCGACATCACATTAATTCCTAGAGGACATTTAAGTGCAAATTTCACTAACAGACTATTTTCAAACGCTATTATATTGGTGCTGCTTTATTTGCGACGCTTTTTTTCAGGGAATTTCTGCTTTTCCAAAAATTGTAATTTCTAAACAACTTAATATCACTTTTAGTATTCCTTCTGTTTTCAGATCGCTTAAAGTTGTTTATTATCAATTCGAAGCTTTGGTCCATTCGTTCGTGCTGTTCTGTGAGCGATTAGCCGAGCATTTCATGAGTTAGCAAATTTACTGTACTTTAACCAGTGGGTCGCGGGTTCGGGCCTCGGAGGTTGCATTCTCTGGGGTTGGGCATGGCTGGCTGACGACGGCTAGCAAGCCATGAATGGCCATTCCAGCCTCCCTTGCCTCTGTCAGTAATGTTATTCTGCCTATGCTAGGCGTCGCTGTGCGGCTGCTGGCGGGGGTTGAGAGAGAGGGAGTCCCAAGTCCTAACGAAACGAATGAGTTCCGAAACGCAATTGGTGAGCACCTCTTTACCACTTTACCGTACTTTGCTAGGGGAGCGCTCATCGATTGTGTTACGGAACTCACTCTTCAGGTACTGTACTTTCATGGACCACATGAGCAGAGAGGATGCACAGAATTGTTTCTGATCGTGGGTGCTGGTCAGGGCCAATCAAAAAGGCCCGAATAATCCAAAAAACAGCGGTCCTAATCTGCCTCCATCTTTGTGTCGGTATCCTCCTTTGCTGCCACTAGGTTGATGGTCATGTGACCTAGTGGGCAGCAGTTTACTCATGATCTTTGCCACCCCGTTTGTATATAGTTTGCTCCGGAAGCAAGGCAGACTGGTGTGGGTGTGTGCGTGTGTCACGCTTCAGCGCCCCGTTCGATCATCTGCATTCGGTTTTATGCATGCTTTCCACGGGCACTTGGTGAGAGAAGGGAGAAAGCGAAGCCGACCCCCGGGTCACTTTTCTCCCGACAATTCAAAGCTTAGATTCCTCACTGTACTAAACCTTGTGTGCTTTTAGATTACCACGAGGCGCTAGAAGTCACGACCTAGAGGGTCGCCAACTGACCAGATACGTCAGTCCTTCTCTGGGCTGGCGAGCAAGCTGCAGGCCTTTTCGATGAGAAACCCAGGACCCCTCTCTTGACGTCTGGTCCTCAGGCGCTCGATACGAATTGGGAAGCGCAAGCACCTATTTTTACCAACGAAAGAATTACTAACCTCACAGACTTCTAATAGGCACTCTGACGTGCCTGTCGGCCTGGATGATATCTGGCTAAAACTGGGATCCAAGCTTCACAATAAAAGTGGTAACACATTTGCTGGCCGCATTCCGCATCGACATCAGGTGTTGCTGACTGCAATTTTAGTTTTTTTAAAAAAAGAAATGTGTGCGTAAGACACGATGAGTCATTGAAAGTACATTTAGCAAGAAGTGTGCGTATTCACGACAGTATACGCACCAGCCTTCAGCGTGTTATATAATTGACTAGTAAGGAATGAGTAATTAGTGGGTGCTCGGAGTCTGAATATTTTACAGGCAAATTAGGCGTCGAAAACGTGTAGTGTAGTAATTAACGGTAAATGTGATTGTACCGTGAAATGCTGATGCGGGAGTAAACTCAGCTTTCCACAAGGCCGATAAATCCTCTTAGTGCGTCTCCAGTGGTTTCATTAACAAGCATTCTGGGTTGGTGTTTTCGTACAAACGGGGAGAGGGGGGAGGGGAACTTGGTACCAGTTGACAGGCTGGGGGAACGATGGAAGTTGGAGGGATCTAAGGGCCAGAAAGTCATGTACGTGTTCAGTAGAACCGAGATTCCGGCAGGAGACGAAAGTCGACGGTCGAATTCCAGCTCCTGTATAAACGTTTAGGAAGGGGGACGTCAGCATTCTGTGAGGCGGTCTTTTCGCTGTGCGTTCTCCTCCAATATCCACCGCTTATACTGCTAGGTGTTAACATTCTGATAAAAGGCGACCAGACCCCTTTTCGTTTCTCCATTCAACCTCCCCTTAAACATGCGCTGACTGATCATCTGAGCAAAATGCTGAGTAAGCCATCGTTGCGGATACTTAATTCAGCACAAGTGTTTAAACACAGTGCTTAACAACTATGACCACGCCCTGCTTTACTACTTCGCTGTCAGCCCTAGTATGCTTGGGGTAGACTCCTCTGACAATATTTCATAGACTTGTTGAAATCACACCGAGGATTGTTAGGAGATTCACATATAAGGAAGGGCAACTGAGTCATTGACTTTCCCGTGAGTGCTTTGTACTGTCACCTTTGAGGTAACGCCTTCCGATTGTTATTGTTCAGTTCCTGATGGTCGAGAGGCGGCGTTCGCGGTGCTGTGTTCCTCACAGATCTAGTGGCAGCATGACAAGGTCGTACCGCAAAAAACCGGCTCGCACCGACGCAATCAGCATTAAAAGCACTCATCGTGTGATAAACAATGTGATTCATGCGTGGTGACAAATATGGTAGATGTCATAAACATCGGCTTCAGAATTGCAAACCTGACCCTGAACGTGTTGAGGGATCTGTCCGAGGACACGGTCTCACTTGTACACAGGAATCTATATGCAAAACAGCTCGTGCATAAGTCAAGTGCTATTTACTTGGTTCGTTTGGCTCCCCGTAAATGTCTGGCTGACAATTTTCTCGAATGGCGTAGTTGACTGTCTGAATCGATCGTCCAACCAAAAGTAGCTCCCACAAGTTGAACTAATCCCAATCCCGGTGGCTGCAAAACGATTGTCTCGGGAAGTTATTCGGCCGTTACAAACGATACGAACCACCGCTGTCCAGAAAAGAGACAGACAACTTACAGATTAAGTTTTTCTATAGTAAGCAGACTCTCTCTCTCTACATCAACTTCACTTTCTCATCTCAAATTCACCGTGTTTTGAAGGCAGGACAAAGTCAGGACGATCGGATAGGGGAGTGGACGCGGTGGCTAATAGGACTCAGCAGTCCAGCTATGTGTGCCACACATACCAAGCCTCAGTAGGCGCGTCCTGGGCCCCACATGAGTTGGAGCACTATCAAAGTCACACTAGAGGGGAGTCATTGCAGCCTGGCCCTCGGTCCTGGGTAGCAGCGGGTAATCCTGCCGGTTGACAACCTTGAGCATACGGGTGTTAAAGCAACCGGTTATTTATGGAGGAAAAATTAGGCGTTGGATCCGGACTGGATCGACTTGCATCCACCTCGCCTCTTCGCTGTGCTAGCAGTCCGCCCGAGCCTGACAACTGACTGGGGATAGCATTGAGTGCAGTGGCTAGCGTGACTTGAGTACCCCCTCTAGCGCGTGTCACACGTACGGCAACAGCTGGGGACTCACGTAGACCCAGCACCGCCTGACCGATGTGCGCGCTACTAGGCAATATTGCCCATCGTTTTTTGGAAGACAGCCTAAGGTGCCTTCCGAAGCAATCCTGCGGAGGGCCAGGAGATGTGGTCTCTCGATGGGTGATCACTTATAGTACGTGACCTATCTCATGAAATCTGATAACGGAAACTGACGAGAGAATTTCTGGACGCCTTTAACGTGGCGCATTTTGCTCGCTCACCCACATCCTTCAATGAAATGTCCTTTTCTTGTTCAGAAATTGTGTTTACGTAATTATATCAAGTAAAATATCAATAAGTTTCTGCTAAAATAGACGTTGGAATATTTTCGTGCAATTTCCTATGCTAATACATGTCGTAGACTCCAGTTACGCATCTGAGCGGCTTTTTCATTGGAAGGATAGTAATTCACCTTCGAGAGTTTTAATAAACAGATTTAGCCGGACTATAAATTTTATTTCATATCCGATGTTGACCATGGTTATCAACCTGCTAATAAAAAGGTTATTTTAAGAAAACCAGGGGGTTTTATCAATTCCTTTATGTCAACTAAGCAGATCTGTGCGATTTGGTGCCCTAAAGTGCAATAATAACGCGGATAGAGATTCCTTTGTGTAAGTTGGCTGAAATTTTCTTGTCTTTTGGAAAATTCTACCTGATGTCACATAGATTACCATCACGGAATGGTCATTTCCAGATTTAAACAGATGACACACAACTTTTCTAGTATTTTAACTTCTGCGCATACTTTTTTGCAGAAATAGAACAAGCAAAACACTTTTAGTTTCATCAAAATATCAGTAGTTATATGGGCGCTCTGACGTGCATTCATAATCGAAGAACGGAGTCTAAAAGCGAGCAAAAACAGTGGAAATGGCCTCAATGTATAGAGAAAGGCATGTTCTTAAGTTCACAGTAGAAAAATATTAGTATTTCTCAGGAACGCGAAAGAAACGGCCAAAATTGTCAAATTTTTCATTGGCCTCACCGTGCAAAAATGCAAAGTACACAGAGATCCGTCAAAGGAGTGCAGTAAAAAAGCACTTCTTAAAGAGTTAACTTATTGAGGAAAGTTTTTTTATTGATCAAAGGCATATTCGTTGCTGACTTTCGTCGTGGACAGCCATTTTTCTCGAAAATGAAGTTTCATGTTTGAATGAGTCTTCAAATGTGACCCAAACGACCATCTTCGGGAAAAGGAGCGCCTGAACGCTCACTAATTCGGTAAATGCCTTCAAGAACGATCTTATTTTAAAGTTCTCAACAGACAGGTAATTTAGAATCTGTCTTTATGGGCGATCGGGTGAAAACACTGAAAATCATGATGTATTCAGCAAGATTTCGAGGCCGATCTGGAACTCAACGTAATCCAAAACGACCGAAATGTGTAAATTAATTTAACAGATGAAAAGTTCTCTGTATAAACACAAAATGGTATGTTTAAGATCACGCCTGTCAGTTCTATTCAAATTTATTAGGCATTGACAATCCTTATGGCATGTCACCTTATGAAAACTTTTGATCCTACGACGTCCTCATCGGCGAAATCAAGCAAAATCCAGCTTCTCTTGTTGAACCCCATCTCATTTACTTCGACCAAATTCAGAAAAACAGGAATCACTGGAAAACTGTTTTGGAATATACCCTCAGAATGTAGGCAGTTGACAAACCGTCACCTATGAAATCACACCGCTTATTAAACGACATTTAGTTGTAAACTTCACTAAAACACTGGTATTAGACGCTATTTTATGTCTACTTTCATATTTACTACATTTTTGGTATTCGAATACATTCTATGCATCTAAAAACGAACTTTACTTAATTAGAGCCATTTCTGACGTTTTCGGGATATTGCGCTTTGCAAAATAAATCGCTATTTCTTAACAACGCAACACTGCCTATAATATTTCTTTTATGTTTTTAAGTCTTTTAAACTTGGACTTAATTAACAAAGAAATGGGACTCATGAAATGATGTCGGTTTGCGAGTGATTGGCAATCATTCGTAAATTTCGACACATTTCCATGAGTTAGTTCAGGAACTGTACATCCTGCCTTGCATAATTTCCGAAGAAATTAATGCACGTACAGTAGGTGGACTAACTCATGAAATCTCAACCGAAATTTCGAAATGTGTTTTCATTTCGAAAAGATTAATTAAGTAGGGTTGTAAAACCAATCATCGTACAGCACAATTCTGTAGTAATTCAGTTAACCCAGGACGCCGGCTTTCGAACTAACTTCTTTTCGGCTGCATGCAAAGACCATACTTTTCAGAAAATGACTACTTAGGTAGCATGCATTTTTAATTGATTTTCGATGCCCTTAAGGATTCAATTATTTTCATGAAATACATGCATAAAAATGTTCATTCATTTGCTCATTCAATGGAAAATTACCTCTTCTTTCAATTTTACACTCGATTAAAGGGTATAGTTAGGTTTTAAAAAAGTTTCTCATTGTAAGATTTTTTAATACCGTGGAATGGCCCTTCATAAAAGGTCATGTCTCTGCATTTACCAAAGTGGCTTGTAAAGTTAACAATGTGGCTCAAACCCACTGCTTAATTTTATAAACCCCATACGGTCACCTATTAATACGAAAGAGAAATGTATGGTTTTCCGAACGCGGAAATTATACGGCTTGTAGTTTTGGAACCCTGAATGCACGTGTAAAGGCAGGTCGGGTTCAAAATTATTCGGGAATTGGAAAACAAAACAAAACAAAATTACACCCTTCCGTCGAGTGTAAAATTGAAAGAAGACGTCATTTTCTACTTAATGAGCAAATGAATGAATATTTTTATGCATGCTTTCCATGGAACATAATTAAATCTTTAAGAGCATCAAAAATCAATGAAAAAATGCATGCTACTTAAGTAGTTTTTGCATGCAGCCGTAAGGAAGGAAAGTTGAAAGGCGGCATCCAGAAGTAACTGAAATATTATAGAATTGCGTTGCGGGCTGACTAGTTTTACAACCCTACTTAATTAATCTTTTCGAAAAGAAAACGCATCTCGGAATTTCTGTAGTGATTTCATGAGTTAGCCCACTTACTGTAAATCCCTCAGAACACAACTTTTTAGGCTTCGTTCGAAAGTTACTATATGAATATTCGAGCGGAAATCCATCAGCGGAATAACCACATCATATTTACAAGCTGTCAACAAGCAATCAGTAGCATAGTGACAGCAGAGGTATTAGTGCTTTTTTGGTTTCTGGCAGGAGATTCGGTGTGGAGGGTGTGGAGGGAGCTTTTACGAGATAAGGCTGTCTGTCCTTCTCTAATCAAAGGACCTCCGCAAAACGATATTTTATCAGTTCAGTTATAAATTATCTAGAAAATATATTGACAGACAGTCACTACCAGTGCTTTTCAAGCTATGCATAGGTGTAGGTGTATAAGCTGGGAATGGCATGGAAGATGAAGGCGCCTACATGCAGGTAAAATGAACAAAAAGTTGGAAGCCAACGCACCTGGAATGACTTCTTTAGCCGGAACACTCCGGAACTAACAAGAGAGGCCTTGGCCTCCTGGAAACCCTGTTGATTTTGGAAATGCTCAAAAATGAGCATTAGGTCGAGGACGCGTTGAATGGCCAACGTGCGGTCTTCCGCATTCCGTTCCGATAAGATGGAGTACACAAGCCACCTGTGGAACTGGAAAAAGGTGAGGGAATTAGATTCCAGTGGAGTGGGATAAACAGCTTCACAATCCAACATAGCGACACAAAGTACTGCCTTCGGAGCAAAAAGGTTCCGCGCCACAGTGATAAGTGAACACAGTTTTCTACCAAGCAGTGGGGTCGGCGGTTATAGCCCGAGGGTAGGCAGTAATGTCCAAACGTAGCTAACTAAAGTAAGAGCGCAGCTAAGAGTATCGAGGTGTCCGCATGGGAAGTAACACATTCATCAAACTACAAACTGATAGTTTCTTGCTAGATTTTCCTGCCTCCTATTATGCCCTGCCGTTCAACTGTTCTGCCCCTAATTTTAGTTGCCAAGGGGCCTTAGATCAACCAGCCTCCCCGATCTGGCGGGTGAACTCGACGAACAAGTGGCATGTGCCTAAAAGCGCTAGAAGTACCTACTGGTAGGCAGTAAGTGACTATCAACAACTCAGCTCTGATTTGGGAAGAACAGATCGGATAACCACCACAAGGCCGTTTTTCTTTTCTAACTACCTCTAACCCCACAGGCCGAATAGTATATGGGAGGTCAGATGTTATATAGCCCAACCTGAAGTAAACAAACCCCAGCCACATGTAATACGGGACCGGTGGTAATAGGGGTTTTTACAGATGGGCCCGGAGAACACACAGGAGTCGAGGTCAAGTAGTTGTATACAAAAGAAAAGCTATTGGGAATGCGCGACTGTACTTTGAGTGGTTGAGAAATAGTTGCGTTAACCCCTGACCCTAGCCCCTAGCCATAACCTCTAACCCTAACCCCAACCCCAACATTACTGTATGCATTAGGTGGGGCTATACAACCCCATCTAGCAAGTATTAGTGCGCCTAAAACCCCTCGGCAATTAAAATTAGGGGCAGAACAGTTGATCGACACTGTCAGTTCGTAGTTTGATGTGTTACTTTCCATGCAGACACACCGATACTCTTGGCGGTGTCCCTAGTTTAGTTAGCTACGTTTTGACATTACTGCCTACCCTCGGGATATAACCACCGACCCGCTAAAAGTACCTACTGGTAGGGAGTAAGTGCTATCAACAAATCAGTTCTGAATTGGGAAGAACAGATCGGATAACCACGACAGGGCCGTTTTTCTTTTCTAATTACCTCTAACTCCACAGGCTGAATGGTAAATGGGAAAAAACGGTGAGAAGTCGAAGAGAACCATTGACTGACAACTAGATAAAAGCTCAGGTTCCAGACAAGCGGTCCTTTATCCACACCGGTGGAACACAGACGCCAAGTAGCAACACGCCTGACAACTCACCTTATTGGAAAAGTCTTTACAGGCGCGAAGATTGGGTGCCTTCTCCGGAGTGTCCTCCCCGCTAACCACCTCGAGGAAGTTGATGCGCCGGTAGAGGTCCCACTCGTGCAGTGTGACCTGTTCAGCCAACTCCGTAGGGTGGATCTGCAGGAAGACGACGTTAAAAAACAACAATTTGTGAGTTACTAGGAGCGAGCTTGACGAGGAAGGCAATTGAGAAGTGTTAAATACAAAGACTCGGAATACTGGAATGATCCTTTCAGAATCTCGTGCCGTCGTCCACCAGTGGTGCCCCAGATAAAGCCCGAATGACTGAAGCTTGAGCCCAATTCGACAGGTCATCGGGCATTATTAAATCAAGCGCTCCCCCACCTCCCCTCAAACCACGGACCCACGTCCTGCCAGCTGCGATCGGCAGCATGGGGGTGGTGCGCACTGATTGCTGGGAGGGAACGGGAACTCCGGTTTCGCTAGTCATCTTGAGGCCCAAATGCGATGCTTAGACGGACCGCCACAAGGCAGTACAGAAATCCCCACTCCTGTCATGCAACCAGGGCAGATGCGAGAGCACCACTTCCATGTGACTGCATATATATGGTCGACCGTTGTTGACAGAGGAAGAGAGCCTAGTAGTCCAGGTTGATGGAGTGTCGAACTTCAAAGCCTCGGTAACGGACCTACTGGGCTCTAGTTTAAACGCCGTGTATGCCATCACCGGGGGGCGATGACGGCAAACGGGCCCTTACAGTGCCCGCCGCCTTTTTGTCACCGACATATCAACGCGAGGTTGCTCACAGCTACGCGCCAGACGCGGGTTCTGAAATCGGAGTTTTAAGCGAAGACGGAACTGCTAAATTTCACGCCGAAATAGGGGTAGATTGGAGAACGCTACTCACATGTAAGAAAAGCTATCTTATCGTGGGAAATAAGGAAGAAAATAAGAACTGTTGTTGTTAACCAACCGTCACATCAAAGTTTCAAGCGAGTCAGTTTAACAGAAGACAATTTCTTCCTTGTCGATTTGGAATGCGCTGTATCAGGAAATTCACAAGAACTCGCCTTGCGGTGGACGAAATTGTTCCAAAGGGACGGCGTTTGAACATGTATGCATGTTCCACTTTAAACTACTTCATTAAAAAGGAACACATGAAAATAGCGGCGCTATTTCCCTGACGGAAGCAGTTGATCATCACTGCGTCCACACGGCAGTTGTTTAGGTCGTAAATTCGCAAGCATAAATGAAATCTTGGCTTCGAGGTGATCTCTCATCAGGCTGACGGGCAGCTCCGCAGTTCTGGTGGAAACGCATGCGACGCCTGATGCATTTGTCACTACGGGGCATATGAGGTGTGTCCTGGGCATGAATACACCCTGCGGGTCTAAATGCACGTGGTGGTCGCCCCGCTGGGTGCATGTGTCTATGCACCCAGTGGTGACACTCCACTAATCGCGGCAGAAACAGATGAGGCATCGGTGTTGTGGGCCGTGTGGACGAGACTCGCACCAGGTCAGCACTGAGTCCAGTCTCCTTGCCAGTCGACGTAGCCTTGTCAGTGGATCACAATAAGATCGGGCGAGTGCGACCCATCCTGTGCAAACCCTCCCCGCTAAAATGCCATGAAAAAGTTACTAACACAAAGACCCACCTTGGTAACGCCACCCAGCCCAAAAATTTCTTACAATGAGGGTGACATGAAGTTCGCTGGCTGACCTATGTTAATTCGATCGTCTCCTCACTGCATTCCATCGTGAGCCAACGGTCACCTGAAACGTCTAATCAGCACCTCCGCGGGTAATAGGCCAGGAAAGGTACTCCAAAAAGCCCTGATTTACACAGTGCACGCAACTGAACGTTGTTGTTGTATGCAATACACGGGGTTGAAACCCAATCCCCTTCCTCTCCGCCACCAGGCTCGGCAGCCTGCAATGCCAGTTCACTTTCAGCTAACCGAAGGACCGACTGCTCAGGTCGTCCGCAAAACCGACGGATACGACGCAGACATTGATACCACCAGGAAGACACGGTCCTATTGAGTATGGACAATTAGAAGTACTCAGAGCAGTCTACTTCTGAAGCGGTCACCCAAAAGAAGAATCAAGAGATGTTGGGGAGGTCCTCGTCGTTAGAGAGACCATCGTCAGGACACTGTCCTCCGTCCCCTATGGAATCAACAACCGACTCACCAAAATGCGGCCTTCACTCATTGGCAAGAAATCCCCCACTAATATCGGCATATAGGTTTCAAAAGTGCTAGGGCAGACTTTTCGCTTCCTCTTCGTGTCAGTGCTGAAGACGGATAAACGAATCCTCGGTGACTCCAATACACAAATCGACATAGGTTACAATGCATAGGCGGACTACGTGGTTGTCAGAGAGTAGGGGTCCGCAATGACAACGGTTAAAGAACTTCGTAAAACAGTTAAAACTGTTGTGTACGCACGCTCGCCTACGTCGCTGGAAAACGTCGAACTGAGTTCTCGCCAGGAGGCGAGATCACAAGGCCTTTTGTGACAACTATAATGTACGGATCCGACTGCTCGACCAATCGCTCCCTAGCCGTCTCGTAGTTGTGACCGCAGATTCAACCACGAAAATTACCTAACAGGAAGACAGCGCCTTGAAAAAATGGACGCTGCAGTACGGGATAACGACAAACACGAACGACGCCTCGCTATCAGAGTGGATACCAGCCTGGGGCGTGCACAAACCCTTTAGGGCGAAATTGTTGAGAACATTTGAAACAGACTGCGCGAAGTCTGCGACATCCCGGTCATAGTCCTTAGACCTGCATGCCGGCAACACTATGGTTGATTAGGTGACGGCGGAGATATCCAGCGCCTGTTCTCGATAGAAAACGGCCTCATGAACTATGTACAAAAAACAACACCGCCACTAACAAAACGGCATCCCCCCCGCGCCAAGGTTTCACTATTCCAATCAAGCAGGAGCACTTTATCGACGCAACTTAGAGTCTAAGGCTGCGATCGTAATGGAGTCCGAATAGGTTACGGCAATTTCTCTGAACGTTGAGGCCAGTGAAGCATCCGTTGAATGGGCATATAATGCACTCGTCTGGTCGTTAGAAATTAATGCAGACAGGGGTGAAGTGTTGGTGGCTGTCTACCGTTTGTTCTTCATTGGCGCATACAGAGGCAGCGGCTGATTCAGTTGTCTGAGTATAGCCGTTCCTTCCTAATTGTTCTTGGAGATGTGCCATCAGAAAGGAACGTTGACAGGTTCCCCGATCTCCAGTCTAGTTTCAGAATTGGTCCGCCAATAACCGGAAAAACTCGTCTTGAACCACTACGAACCTGCGCTTTGGCGCCACTATGTTCGTTATGATTGAGGGGGGTAGACTAGCAGGCTTCCAGAAAGTGTTTAAACACATCTTCGCCGACATTCAGTTCGCAATGGAGGAAGAGGTCAGACTTTTGTCCTTGACATTCTCGTCATGCTCGGACCCAATGGTGAACTTGGCACCAAGGTGAGTCGAAATACGACTGACAATCAAGTATCACTGTACACCATCACAGTGGGCACTCGATGGCGCACAGACGTGGCCGCGTTAGGCGCTCTTTCAAAGAGTAAAAATGCACTGCAGCAAACCAGAGGAACAGGTACAGGAAATAAGGCATCCCTAGGACCAATTAGGAACGGCTACTCAGACAACTGCAACAGACACTGCCTCGGAACACGCCAACGAAGAACAAACGGGCGAGCCACCAACCCTCTGGGACAGTCCGTATATAAGCAATGCATCAGAAGCAACAGGACGTTTAGCCACAAAGTTTGGCGTAGCTATCGAGCATAGCCCGACACCTGTCATGCGTATCAGAGTCATGCAAATGAAGGACCAACTGTACGCAGGTGAGCAATCGCGTGCAGTTTATCCATGTCCTCATCAGTATATAGGTCGGATGGCACGACGACTCAGCTCACAAATGATCGAGCACAAACGAGGCGTTTGAAGAGGCGACCCACTCTGCCTCAAGTCGCCATCCACATCCTGGAGGAGAGTCACAAATCCGACTTCGTGTACACTCGGATAATGCCGCGGACCGGCGACATGGCCGGGCGAGAGCTGCTGGAGGTCGTCACTGACACCAACTCCACCGATAGACCCGTTAACACATAACCACTGTTATTGAGTTAAGCTCACGCAGCCGAATGGCGCGACCCAATTCCCAGCCACGACAGCTCAACCGCCGTGACCCACGATGCCCACCGTGTGTTCCACATCAGGGTTAAGGCAGGGCCGGTGACTTGCGCGTGAATTCAGTGATAGTAGCACCTGCCCCACTCTCTCCGCCTCCTCCTCCCTCACTCGGGGCCGGTGTCAAGGCCAAGTCAAGAAGACCGGAGGCGCGAGAGTCGGCAGGTGGCTGGCACGGTGAAACCCGCACACCACCACACCCCCCGTCCACAACGGACACCGACCAGGATTTTATACCACAACACATAGGGGACAGCGCGGATCCAATTGCCGCAGAGTAAACCTGCAACTGGGCATGCCACCACACCCTAATGTTGACATTTTTATGGGTGCGAATTCTCGATAACGCCTACCGGACTCCGTTCTTGGCCCCGACGCATCTACGGCGTGGCCTGTTTTAGGGACACCGTTCCCAACCAAGGATGCACACGGTCACCGAACCGTGAAACCATTGCGAGTTAGACGGTGTAAATCCAGACCAGTCGCGAGCACAGCAGCCTCTCCCTTTCCTCGCCCTCATTGTCACACCATGTTGTTGTTGCTGCACTTCCATAAAGTCTGAAAATGGTCCTCTATACGAGTCCAAAAGCCCAGAAAAATACAAATGCCGTCGCGGTGATCGCATGTCCTCCTTCTTTTCGGAAGATTTGCCTTAAAATTTGCTGATGATGGTGGCTACAGCAGAAGTGTTGAAATACCGCGAGAAAAGAGAACCGCTTTCTTCCCGAACTGCCCTACTTTACGAAAGAAAAGACACAGATGAGAAAATTAAAGCACCTGGAGCAGATCAATGTGATCGGGCCCCTCAAAGAGCGCACCAACACGAGGGACCAGGGAAATTGGAGATGCAGGGGACGAATTGGCCGGGGATTCGTGCAGGTGCCCACCAGTACTGAGCCTACCGGGCTCGTCCGGAGGACGCAATGTCTCCCCCGAGACGGAGGGGCTGACGTCAACGTACGGGTAGGGAGGGATGTCAGCATGATTTATCCACTGCTCGATGGCTCGAGCAGTATGCAGCAGGTGGCAAGTCGTCACCTCCGACAAGAACTCGGTCAGGCGAGCACAGAGTTCATGATTGGGCGCAAAGTCGATTTCAAAGAGACGCGGACTGCGGACCCAACGCGAGAGGAACATCATAACCCTGAAGGAAGAGAGAAAAGCATGAGACTATCAGTAGTGAGGTAAGCAGGGTGTATCATAGGTGGAATGCCATTTTTTCAAAGGTCAAAACGGGGTGAAGACCGTTTGGCGGGAATCCCTTTACCTCGCACTGCTGCTGACAGTGTAGAACAAATCACGCCCCTGGCTCTGCCGTCATGTCAATAATTAGACAAACCAGGAGTAAGATTGTGCGGAGATTACTGAGGCACGGAAATCTGGTCATGCTAGTGTGTCGGGCTCTGTCTCGTCCCTTCGCCCTATGTATCCAAACTGGAGGTGGCCCAATCCGAGGATTGGCGACTGTCACCAAGGACGACGCAAGGCGGAAATTGGTGACTGCTTGGTTGGTGGGTATGTCGCTTCCCTTAAACCTGACGGCAAACCAGTTTGGAAACGCGGGATATCAAACTACGCTTCCTGGTGCTAGACTTGTCTTAATTTATGCCAGTCTGGATGGGCACATTTGCCCGAATAATGGTGCCCACCCAATGAGGCGATAAAATACCCACATCATGACCGTTCCGAAAAGGATAACTACACCGTCTAATGAATAAAAATCAGACGTGGAACTCTATATGTTGGGGATTTTAAGGACGATCATATAAGGATTTCGACAATTGTCTCGGGTTAGAAACCCTTAACTCGAACGATATAGTGGCCCTCGCAGGAGGTTGAAGGTCGTGTCACAGGGTAATGACACTTCAAAGTAGATGAAGATACAACTTGGAAGTGCGCCTGCACTTGTTGAAGACAATTTGGCATGATAGTTCGACCGTTGCGTGCAACGATGTCCATCCTGTGTACCACAGCATGGTGGGTGCAGAAGGGTGACTTGTGCGTTTAGTTTATAGTGCTTTATAGTTTATAGTGTAAGTTTATAGTTTATATAGTATAGTTTAGTTTATAGTGGTAGTGTTATAGTGGTAACAGACTGGAGTCACATCTGTCGCACTCTCTCACACAGGCCCTGTGATAGGACAGAGTCAGGACCACCGGAGGCGGGTGTGGGTTGAAAGGCGGGCAAAGGTAAGCACCCCGTCTACGCGTGCCACGCACGACCTAGCTCTCGCACACAATGTATCACATTTTCAGAAAAGAGGCCTCTTCCGACCTCAGACCAGCGGGAGTGTCAGAAAGGCTACATTAAGGCGCCATTGAGCCTGACTCTCCGTCTGTCATCCTGCATATATACACAGCACTGACCACAAGGACTGAGTTAGCCCGTCAGATGGCGGCCTTCCGAGTCAAGACTTTTAGCGCGTCGTAATAGTTTCAATGCACGCCAGACTTATTACGGTAGCGAAGGCGATGATATGCCGTGGGGATGAGTTCCCCAGAGTCGGCCACACTTTTCCTCTCCCCTCTCCCATGCGCCAGTTGACTGTCCGAGTTCCCCAACCAGGTGGTGACGGGATAAAGAATTCGGTCTACAATTTTAACAGCACAACACTGATTTCAAAACTGTACAATTCACGTAGAGTAATAATCGTCCGTCTGTCTGGCAAAACGTGACGCCATCCTTGGCAAAAAATGACATCCTCTACATTGTGGCATCGTAAACAATCGGAGTAAAATGCAACGAGGCTGTAAAAACGGCAATCACTACACATTGTTGTCCAATATAAGGTTGACACACTGGCAAACAGGGCAACTTTTCTTAGCGAACGCTTCATTGATAAAGCAGGCGTCAAGGCACTTTTTGAAACACCTGTCCTCAATGACGAAAAATCTGGGTAAGATCGCAGTTCGTAGTAAAAATTAGGAATTGATACCGTCGACGTACTTACTTGTAATCAGCAAGTGTGTTTCCTTTATCGAGGAAACTTGTTATCAGTAGGTGTGTTTCTACTGAGTTAGGCAGGTCGCCTGTTTCAGTCAGGTTGTTGGGCTTAGTGAGGGTTAGGGTTAGGATTAAGTTTAAGGGTTATGGTTTGCGTTTTGGGGTTAGGGTTTTAGGGTTAGGTTTTAGTGTTAGGGTTAGAGTTAAGTTTAGTGGTTAATGTTAGGGTTAGGGTTTGGGGTTAGGATCTTTGGGTTAGGGTTAGGTTTTAAGGATAGGTTTTTGGATTGAGGTTAGGGTTTATGGTTAAAGTTATGGTTAGGTTTTGGGGTTAAGGTTAGGGTTAGGTTTAATGGTTAATGTTGGGGTTAGGGTTTACGTTTTGCGGTTAGGGTTAGATTTTAGTGTTAAGGTTAGGGTTAGATTTTAGGGTTAAGGTTAGGGTTAGGTTTAGTAGCTAATGCAAGGGTTAGGTTTTGGGTTGAGGTTAGGGTTTAGGATTAGGTTTTAGGGTCAACGTTAGGGTTGGGGTTTAAGGTTGGGTTTTGGACTTTTGGGTTAGGGCTTAGGGTTAAGTTTAGGGTCAGGTTTTATGGTTAAGGCTAGGGGTGGGGTTTAGGGTTATGTTTTATGGTTAGGGTTTTAGTGTTTGGTTAACTTCCCCATTCCGGGCTACGAACTGCGATCTGACCTGCGGGTACAGAGATGGGGCTGATAGGCAGAAGATACCTTGGCACTTAATACCTCACCTGCTCTGAACGCGGAACTTGTAGCCCGACCGAAAACGGCGTAACATATGGCCTGCCGGCGATTCTAGTTTTCCGCGCAGCCTGTCAACCTCAAACTCTTGTGGTTCAAATGTGGGGTCAGGTACATTGAAACGTTCAATAAGGAGGGTGAGCAACTGGTCGG